GGCGGACTTGGCTTGTGTGTGGAAAATCTCTTACATTATAAGTGTCTTCGTACTGAAGTTGTGCATTCATCTCTCCAGTCTCGTCTCAGGCCAACTCCTTTTAAAGGCAGAACTGGGGCCAAAGATGAATGCTCTGCATGCATTTGTAATATCCTCCTGGATATTTTGCAGATAAATGCGACGTTGTGCGCAGGCATGAGTTTGTAACTGTGGTGTAGTACCTGCTTTCTCTGCCTGATAATTTCGAGGGCACAATAAATTGTCTCGCCGAGGTGAATGCGAAGTTGCTCTATTTCCATCGTTTGATTTGATTTGGTTTGCGGAGAAAATACGCATCGTGTCTGGCAGAGCCCAGCTTAGCCCCGCTCTTTTCCTCTCCCTGCAAAACGGGGGGGGGGATCATTTGGGAATACCTCTGTCTGATCTAAACGTGAAGAGCCTGGAGCGGGGAGGGCCGAATTTGCCTGCGAAGACCCTTTGCACCGCTCAAAGGCGTATTCCGGCTCCCGGAGTAGCCTATTCAGGTCTGCTAGAGACGCTAACGAGATAATTGATGTGCTTTTTCCTCTCCGCTTCTCTGAATGTGTTGCAGGGCTCCCAGTACGAGCTGAAAGATAATCCGGGTGTCCACCCTGCTACCTTTGCTGCCCACACTGCCCCCGGCTATTATCCCTACGGACAGTTCCAGTACGGGGACCCGGGGCGGCCCAAAAACGCCACCCGGGAGAGCACCAGCACCCTTAAGGCCTGGCTCAACGAGCACCGCAAGAACCCCTACCCCACCAAGGGCGAGAAGATCATGCTGGCCATCATCACCAAGATGACCCTCACCCAGGTCTCCACCTGGTTCGCCAACGCCCGCCGGCGGCTCAAGAAGGAGAACAAGGTGACCTGGGGCTCCAGGAGTAAGGACCAAGAAGATGCAAACCTCTTCGGGAGTGACAATGAGGGGGACCCTGAGAAGAATGAAGATGACGAGGAAATCGACCTTGAGAGCATAGACATAGATAAAATCGACGAGAACGATGGGGAGCAGAGCAACGAGGAAGAGGAGGAGAAGCCCGAGCTCCTGAGAGAAAGCAGTGAAGAGGAGCACTTGGAAAAGGAGAAGGATTTGGCACTGTCAGGGCCTGAAGGGCTGAAACCCAAAGACGCGCTGGCCATGGTGAAGGAGGCCTCTGACAACAGCACACGAATCATCAGTCCCGGGGGACAGAACAATTTACAGATGCCATCTCACAGCAAACCCAAGATTTGGTCTTTGGCAGAGACGGCAACCAGTCCTGACAGTGCCCTGAAATCTTCTCCCCCTCCACCCCCTCCTCCCCAGGTTAACCACACTTCACAGATCCAGCATCCCGCTTTTCTCCCTAGCCATGGACTCTACACATGCCAGATTGGCAAATTCCACAACTGGACAAATGGGGCTTTCCTCACTCAGAGTTCCCTGCTAAATGTGAGGTCCTTTTTGGGAGTAAATCACCACCACGCTGCTCATCACAATCACCACCTCCAGGCCCAGCAACAACCCTCCGTTTTAACAGCAACCCTGGGAGCCCTAAGCGGTGAAAAGCCTTCAGAGAGGACCAGTCCCAAACACATAGGTAATGAAAGCATCACACATCCACCTCCCCCTTCACCCCCAAGACAGGCACCTGAACTTCTCCTTGAGGAACGGTGTCAGATTCAGCCCTGGTGTAACTGATGGCTGTTAATAGAGTCACAGATAGGTTATCCTAGCGTTGATTTTTTTTTTTTTCCTCGGAGCATGTTGATTACATACATTAAGCTCATTTCATGTGGGCTACTACATTCTCACCCTATACGCCCATCAAATAAGATGAGAATGCAGGGATAGCGGTATGAAACATATTCTTTGAGTTTTGCTTTCCTTCCCTCCTTCCTGACCCTCAGCTCCAAATCATTTCAATGACAGACCAAAATGTGGCAAGAAAAGCTTGCATATTCCCTAAACATTGGAAGTAGGGAATAGCGCTGTACACACACACGTATATACCTACAGACATCTGAACCAGAGGGGGAGAGGGACGTGTCTTCTCTGCACACTGTCCAGAGTTTTGTTGTTGTTATTCTAAAATGGTTCTCCTGTTTTTGTGTTTTTGTTTTTGTTTTTTTTTTTCTTTCCTTCTGTCTCCTTCTAGAAAGAGAAAACGTACCGAGAACTGAATCCCCACCTCAGCCGCTAAAATCGCCCTTCCAGCCTGTCCGTGACAAGTGAGTTTGTTTGTTTGTTTTCACTGCAGGAATGTTACTTATGTGAAACAGAGTGTCTGAATAATAAAGACTAATTATAACACATAATCATCTCCATAATAATACATACAGACAGCTAGAACAACATAGAAGTTGCTGTAATATTTTCAAAGTTAGGCTAAATTACAATTGTACATAGCCAGCCCGTAACTTTTCTGAAACTTAATAGACCTCAAAGATCTTGTGTTAATTACACCAGTGACAATGATTTCTGTGCAATTAACTAATACTAGGATGCTATAACAATAGACAGGCAATTATAGGAAAGGATTCTTCTTTTTTTTCTGAAAAATTGTTACGTCTTTTTTTTTTTTTTTCCCTCCCTCCCTCCCCCCCGCAGCTCTTTGGCTCAGCAAGAGGGAACACCGAGAATTTTAACAGCTCTCCCTTCCGCTTGATTAAATGGTTTGGTGAAAAAATATTACAGAGACTGGTGTTAAGGACAGAGAAAAAAAAAAAAAAAAAAAAAAGGAAACTATATAAACGACTCCCATCAATCTCTTTTTGCAATAAGGTGGTGCAAATCCATAAAAGCGATTACACAAATCTGTAGATGGATCCCCTTCTTCCTTGTACCATTTCAGATCGTGTTATTCTAATCATTCTTGGATTATTTGTTTGGTAAATGTTTCCCATGTGTTTGTGTTTTTTCTGTATATAGAGTGATTTCAGATTGTAAATAGCGCGTCAGCAAAACTTGTCTAAATCATATATTTTTGTCTAATAAACTAAATGAAATTATGAGCTCTCTTCAGGTATGTATTCTGTTGCTGCAGATCTTATACATATATTACAAATCTATTCAAACATTTATAATTTGCTTTCTGAAAGTAAAGCCTTTGCCTTTGGGTATCTGAAACTTAAAATACCAAATCCAAGCTTTTAATGACTCTTGTAGCTATTTTGTCAAAAACAAGCTGCGACCTTCCCTTTTCATACACATAAATTTAAGACACTGCGTGAAGCTGGTTCTTGACTCGTAAAATTAAAGTTATTTTTTCAATTGTGATGAATCAGACGTTTTCTGTAGTATCCTTTTTCCGAACATAAATGGATCTGACTTCCACTTAGTTATAAAATACAGTCTTGAAAATGAAAGGGACAAGTTTTCTCACAGTTCCCTAGTGTATAACTTTGCTGTCCAAAACGGTTCCTAAATTGGATGAAGAGCTTTAGTGCTTTGGTATACATTCCGACCGAAGCCGAAAAAAAATTTAATAATTAGGAAATAGAATTATTAGTAACGATTTACGCTTTAAATAAACACAGAGGAAATATGACTGTGAAAGATTTTTCCCTGTGAGATAAAGCACAATCTTAGCAGAGAAAAATATGGCAGTTCTTGCACTTCCCAGAAGAAAGTTCTCCGATTCCGATCTGTTGGTTAAAAAGAGACTGAGAAAGACAATCTATCGGTTTATAAAGGCATTAATCTTCCAAAGACGGTCCGTTAAAATGTGTAATATTTTGAGTGTTTACTTCTTTTTTCTCCTAAATGAGAACACTAAATGAGCATTGAGGTGCTAATAAGATACCAGATGGTTGTTGATGGTGGAAAATGGAAAGAAGCAGCTGGGAAAGTCATTAAGAAATAATGTGGTGACGCCCTATCCAAACTGAACCAACCTCAAACCAGGACTTGGCGGAACAAGATGAGATTTTTCAAATAAAATATTAATAAAATTCTTGTCAGAGATCAGAATATTGATCTAGATTTAGCTGCAAAATCATCACAAGCAAAGAGGTCTAGGTAAACTACCCCTTAGAGATCTGTTGACAAAGCAGTGGAGGCGGTAGGCTTCTATTTTTTGCGTTTTGCAAATGGATCAGAGAAACAGATCAGACGAAACAGATCTTGTGCGGGATATCTGAAGGGCTGAAATGTACAGCGTCCTGTATCTCTGAAAGGAGACTCTTTTCCTGACATCCTGCGGTTCCCAGCATAGCATCAATGAGTTTGCTTTCTGGCTTTTAGTTTTTTCTTTTTCCTAAATCACAGGCAGTCCCGCGTTGGTAATGATTCCAACAAAAGAGTATATTACAGTTTTAACCAAACCATAGAAATTTAGCTTTCAGTGAGGAAAAGGGAGAGGGAGGACGGGGTTTTTTTGTTTGGGTTTTTTTTTTTGTTTGTTTGTTTGTTTTTTTTTTTTTTAAAAGGAAGAAAAAAAAAGGAAGGGAAGAAAAAAGGCTTCACGCCTGTAAAGCCACACTGCGCGTCAGATCAGTGCTGGTGTAAACCTGATGGCATCACTTTCTTTTTCCCACCAATTCAAAAGAAGTAGCT